ATCTGTTTTTTCAACTTTTTGTTTCTTTTTTCCACGCCTGGGTACTCGGGGCGTCACACCGGGTAGAGGACCGGCCGGGTGTGAGAATCTTCCTAGTACAGGAGTATGCCAGCCTTTTAATGTGCAAGCGTGCCATTCAGGCACATGGGGATGCGGGCAGCTGGCGCTCAACCACAACCACGGTGGCCAGCCCTGTACGTGAGAGGTATAGTGAAAGGGTAAGAAAGGGAAATAATGGTTCGATTGTGTTCCGTCACTTCTGTGTTGCCTTCTAGAGAGGTAAAGCTATTTCATTGTTGGATTGCCTCATCTCGACTGTGCTCCATTGTCTGCAATAGAGGTAAAGTTGCTTTGATTTTGGACCTGCTCATCTTGGTGCAACGTGGGCTGTTGTGGTGCAAATCCTAAACACACATTTATGGCTACGACAGATTAGTTTCTCAGACTTACTTCCGTTCTTATCAGGGGTTTGGACCCACAGCCTGCCTGTGTTGCACAGGGTTGCGGTGAGTTTTTTTTTGTTTTTTTTTTGGACCATTTCTCGATCTGTGCGTGTCATCCTTGTGCAGGGGCCATGCTAATCTTCTCTGTATCGTTCCAATTCTCACAGATGTCCCGAAGGACGGGTTGCGGTGAGTATAGTTTAGCAAGTTTACCACTTTTCCCAGGGGATACTCTGGGTAACGTGGTCAGTCCTTGTCCATCAGTCAAATGAATCTTGGGCAGACTGCCGGGGTTCGACATCCTGATGAGTCAGTGAAAGACAACAAAAGAGCCTGGCGCAAGCATATGCATTTTTATTCCGAGTTGTGTGTAGTGAGCATGGCAACACACAGAGAGATGCAGACATTTACTGTCTTCACCGGAATAGAATGTCCCGGTCAGTATAGCTGCATTTGGGCCGAGTTGCGGTCCAGATACAGTGATAATGACCAGCCGTTCTACGCGGGTGAAGATGGTAGTCAGACATTTTTTTAGCGTCAAATAATCTCAATGTGGAATAATAATTTAATGTCGTGATAATGAAATAAGCAAGGAAGAGTAGACAGAGAAATTAGGATCAGATAGTTATATAGATCTATCCTCAGCATGCCTTTTGCCCTTGCTGCGAATCATTCAGGGTCAAGGCTATTTTGAGTACGCCCAGGTCGCAGATCTCGATTGAAGGCCGGCTCCAACTCTGCCACACCATCTCAAGCTGGCCCAGGCCAACGGTGTGAGCTGTTGCTAAGTAAATAGCCGTTACTGTCAAGAATAAGCAAATGGAAATTATAAATGATGTACATCTTCTTGAGTATAACATAATGTACTCCTCTGAAGCGTGTTGAGAAGGTTTTCCTTGCACATAGCTGCCCAAGTTTCCTAATAGCTGATAATATAGAGGAGCTCCTGGCCTTTACGGCTCTTCGTGCGAGGTACGGCAGCAATTAATTCTGTTATGAATTTTTGGCAACATGAACGAAGGAAGCCACAGCTAACAATCCTGTTTACCTGTTTGAGTGTGCAGCTGTGGCAGAAACGGACATCTGATGATATGTGCTTTGCCGATGGACCAACGCAGAGTATGGACAAACTGAACAAAAAAGGATTCTTTTTTGTGAGCTCTTACGGGGCGCAATAATCCGTGCGCATGGTCTAAGTGGTAGTTGTGCTCGTGTGGCAATATGTTGTGTGCAGGTCTCAGAAGGAAGCATCATCACATGCAGGATTAAAAATGTCCTTATGCCGAAGTACTTGGTTGACCTGACATGTAAAGGCAGTGATCTTAGGAGTGAGCGCTGGAATGATCTTGTGTCAAAGGATCCGTATGCAGTGAGAGATGAGTCGCTAGCAATTGTGGATGCAGAAAAGGCAAAGAAAAAGAGGGAACAACAGCGCAAGAGTCTCAAACCAAGGATGATTGTTCATCCATTGTTTAAGAACTTGTCAATGGATGAAGCTTCGGAGGTACGGACGGTAGTGATGGTTTCTTCTTGTCACACCTTCGTTACATTGTTTTCTCTCTTCTTCTATTTGTTTCTCTTCTTCTATTTGTTTAACTTCAGCTGTTTTCTCCTCATATGGGGGACAGTCGTATTTTTAATTTCCCTATTTTCTTCTCTCAATGTTATTTCATCCCACACTAGCTGCACATATCTATGTCCCAGTCTATCGACAAGCGTGACAATGAGCCACCTACAAACAACAACCACATCTATGCACTGGAAGTGATGGACACTTTTAGGGTTTTGGGCCTCCCTACTCTATCCAAGCCTAACTATCCCCCCAGGGTTGATGAACCTAACTCCTAGCATGGATCCCAGTCCTACCTCCAGGACCGTACTAGATGGGGCGAACTGACATGAAGCGTAAAATACGCTGAAGAATCAATACTCGGACGATTGATTCTTACTCTTTTCTTTATCTCAGGTGGTGAGCCCGGAGTGTGCCCCGGGGGCCGTGGGTTTCTTTTTTTTTTTTCTGTTTTTGTTTACGCATGTCTTTCATCGTATTTATGGCACATGGCTCAAGTACAAGGAAAAGAATCGGGCGAGGAAAAGTCAGACAGGAGGATTTATGCTTGCTGGCCTTTATCACAGTAGTGGGATGTGTTCTTTGTATCAAAAAATGACCCGAGGCTGGCGGGCGAAGGGAAGAAAAGGGTGGAGGAAAAGCCACAGAAGACGAGGTGTTGTGTGCTGGGCATTTTGATCACGTTACGGTCTTCCCCCGAACATAACGCACCCTAAAAATGAATGTATACAAGCTATATTTCCAGCCAGATACCGCCAAAATAAGGGTCATTGTGTTCGGGGGAAGACAGTAGTAGGATTTTTTTTTCTGGTACGCTTGGAACTAAGGCAATGGTAAGGCACAGAGCAGTTGGGAGTTCACTTCGTGGATGTTGCCCGATCCAGAAATGGGGAGAAAAGGTTAACGGAGCCCCCATTTTTCACCTCAATTTATAAGAAAACCATAAGGCCATCCCAAGCAAACTTATTATAAAAAAAATACAAAAAAAAAAAAAAAGAACACATAAAACAGCAACTCGAAAGTGCATTTTCAGGCAATTTTGCCAAAAAACAACTTCATCAAAATTTAAGGATTTTCAGGATGATTAACAGCACAAATTCTAATAACCCAAATGACACCAAATTTGACACACAGCAAGCTTGTCCTAAAACAAAAACAGGCAAAAAACAAAATTCCAAAAAAACACAAAATTTGAACCCTGAAACCCTAATTTCAGGATCATTCATTGTTACCCAGGGCTGGAAAGTGGGGGTCGCCGTTAACTACTTGTGAATGGGAGGCTCATGTAGGGGATATACAACCTTTCTACAGGGGTATACACAACGCCCCCCCTCTGTGTAGAACGAATGTCACCTTAAGAGCTATGCTTGATCTTTTTTCAGCAGGCCAATACCATCAGTTACTGGAGTCGCCCGCTTGGTTAAACCACGGAGTTAAGGAATCGCTGGTCGGAGGCAGAAGGAAAAGGCATATGAAATGGTCGTGCTGCCTCTCGTGGATGGCGATGGTCTTAACACAGGGTGGTTGTTCAGAGATTTGGTAATAGTGCATAGTGGAGGCCGCGTCGCGGCTGGCTTTTTTCAAAGAAAAAGAACAGCTCGTCGCTACCGTCTTCCCCCGAACATAACGCACCCTAAAAATGAATGTATACAAGTGATATTTCCGGCCAGATATAGCCAAAAGGAGGGTGCGTTGTGTTCGGGGGAAGACGGTAGCCCATTCTCTGGGACGACAGGTTTCAACATGAAGAGCCAACGGTTAACAAAAAGTTGGGCTTTAGCCACTTGTTGTTCGGATTTAAGCGAATTCAGGATCCCTGGATGTTTTGGATGTTGTGCCCTGGATGTTAGACTCATTCGCTGCTGTTTCTATGCCTCAAGGGTTGTTTGAGGGTGAGTGCTTCCGTACATCTCCTCCACTTTACCTCCAGAGTCCAAACTCATTTCTCTGTTCTTTCAAGCTCTAATTTGTTTTCCATGAGATTGCAGCTGTCAGGTTTTCATGTTCCGTTCTTAAAGACGAATCGGAAACGAAACGGAGTCCCCTTCAGCTACTTAGATATGTCAATTCGCTAAGTCAACTTCGTTGCGGTTTCCTGATAGGAAATCCGTGGATCAAAGAGAGCTTCTCCCTGTGGCATTTCAACTTTCATTGCGTCCTTTCTTTCTTAATGTGCCAAGGCATCCACCCAGTGCATTATTTTGGACATAGCAGCTAGGGAGATATCCCGGGCGCCCGGGTCCCGACGTCATGAGATTGCAGCTGTCAGGTTTTCATGTTCCGTTCTTAAAGACGAATCGGAAACGAAACGGAGTTGATGTGCTTTCCTTCAGCTACTTAGATATGTCAATTCGCTAAGTCAACTTCGTTGCGGTTTCCTGATAGGAAATCCATGGATCAAAGAGAGCTTCTCCCTGTGGCATTTCAACTTTCATTGCGTCTTTTCTTTCTTAATGTGCCAAGGCATCCACCCAGTGCATTATTTTGGACATAGCAGCTAGGGAG